GCCCCCCCCCCCCCCTCCCCCAGCCGCTCCGCCCGGTTCCGGGGAGTCGGTCGGGACAAAATGGCCTCCCCTCCCCCTTCAGGGCTGCTCGGCCGGGACGCTCCCACGGGCGGGCGAGCGAGCTCTGTGGTCGAGGGATCGCGGCGGGCCTGAGGACAGTTCCTCTTCCGAGCTGAAACTCCGCGCTGGGGCCAAGAGGGCAGCGAAGGAGGATCCGGAGCGGACGAGCCCAGCTACATAGCCCCAGGAAGCCGAGCCGCCCGGCCAGAGCCACCTTTTCCCCGTGCCCTCTCACGCCGGCGTGCGCGCTGCCTGAGACGCACGCAAGGACGTACGCCCGCCCTTCCCTCGCGCCCTCGCCCTGCGGGCCGCCTCTGCGCACGCGTGCAGGAAGATGTGGGGGTAGGAGGGGGAGACGAGCGGGGCTGTCGGGGCTCCAAGTCTCGGTCTGAGGCCTCAGCGAGAAGGGAGAGGGGCGGGGCGAGAGAGGGGGAGGCCGCAGGCGCGCTCCCTGTGGCCGCCTGATAGGGTGCGCGGCGTCCAGGGCACGCCCCGCGGGAGGCGCTGCCTACTGACTGCGCAGGCGCAGCGCGTTGGGGTAGCCGCTGGACCCCCGGCCTCCCCGGCCTTCCTGGGGTCCCCCTGCGGACTGCGCTGGGGATTCTCCGCACGGTGTATGTTGGGTGTGTGGACCTGAGGCTCTTGGCGCAGCGACTGGCTTGGGGTGCCGGGCGGTCCCGTGGAGGGGGCGCTCCTAAAAAAAAAATCCTGTGTAGGGGTAGCTCATAAACACAAGAAAAAGGAGCGCCCTGGGTCATTTAATAGCCTCTGCTAACACGAGACGCCTCCTGGAGTACCCGCCCGCCCTCGCGGGCCAGCTGCGACAGGGTGGCATCAGAGCTCCATCTCGGTTTGCTTAGGGAGCAGGACTTGGCGTCCCAGAGCCAGAGCTCGAAATGGAAAAACTGGCCACGCTGCTCGGGTGAGGATGATGTAATCGACCTTCCCGGGCGAGGAGAAGAGGGCTGAGGAACACCTGGGCGCAGGAAAGGCTCCCGGCACAGTGGAAGCTTCCGTGCTGATCTCTGCGTGAAGAACCTGCTTCAAGCCTCTACTGTCCTTTTGGAATCCGGAGAGCTGGGGAGAATGTACCGTGAAGGCGGATCCCCTCCCTGCCGCCCCAGTTGAACCACCGTGTCAAAACTGAAAGGTGGTGAAGCCTACCTACCCCACCCAACGCAGCTTCTTGCTTACATTTTCTTTTCGTTCGTCTTACCTCTTTCCTCTCTCCCATCAGCCTATGTACACCTCCCTCTCCCTCCTCTTCCTTTCTGTAGTTGAAACATTCATGCTTCCAATCTCCCATTCGTGGTATATGTTCTGTCACCCAAACACGCCTGGGATGTGAAGATGGCAGAGTAGGTAAACCTGGAGGGCTGGTGGAACCTGATGGGCCAAAAAAAAACACTTGGACACCTGGAAAGTGAGACCAAGGGATTGAAAGAGAGATAACAACTACATTTTTTTCTTAATAGCCAGAAGGCACATGTGCTCTGGAGAAGGGGAGGGAAGTGAAAAAGCATCCCTCCTCCCAGGGGAGATGGCCATGCCACAATCACGTCTCCATTCTCCTCTTGGGATTTTGGGCTTGCACACACACTCAGCATGTTTTTCAAGCTGCCAGATCCAGGACTCAAACTGCATAGTCGGCCATGTGGGATACAGCAGCCTTGACCTCCACACCTTTTGCTGGCCCCCTGGATCAGATTCTTTAGAGGGCACTTTTGAAAATGCAAGAAAAAAGCTTGTGGGCCATGGTCACAATGCAAATCTTTTCCCTCCCTTTCTCCATTCTGTCAGAATTTGGAGCACGCTCATGCCTGGTGTGTTTTCCAAGTCACAGAGGACAGAATTCCAATGGTGGTGGGCCACATTTGATCCCCTGGCTATGCACAGGGTTTAATAGCTGTGTAGTGAACTGACTCCAAACTACATTTTTATATGCCTACAACTCCACCATCACCAGAGTATGTGTGTATTTGACATGTAATTAAAATTAGGCTTACAGGACCAGCAGTTGGTGTAATGGCTATGTCTCTGGACTCCCATGTAGTCGATCTCAGTTCGAGTCCCAGACTCGGCTTAAACTCACGCCAGCGCGTGCATGTGTATGCCCAAGATCTCCAGAGGAGAATGGAGGAGAAGGGATTGCAGTGTAGCCATCCCCCCTGGGGGGTGACTTCTCGCTTTCTGTCTCTCTGTCTCTGTCTTTCTGGTGAGCGCCCTATAGCAAAAAAAAAACTCTCAAAAAAAAAAAAAAAAAATAGGCTTAGACCACCTGTAGCAGTGGTTAAGAAGACCGGGTCCCACACGTCCACACAGACTGCTGGTTAAATCCTACCCTATGTGGACAGGATGGAGAAATGGAGGGGAAGGGATTGCTGTAGTGATTATACCCAGTGGAAGGTACTTTCTCCCACAGCTCAGGCAAATTAAAAAAAAAAAAAAATTAGTCTTGAGCTGATAGGTAACATAGTGGTTATGATGCTGAACTCCCACATGGCCGACCATGTTTGAGTCCCAAACCTGGTGGCTTGCTTTCTCACTTTCCCTTTCTCTGGTCAAATTAAAAAACAATAACAAATGAAATTAAAGACATAATTCTTTTTTAAGAATAGCCTTTGAGGCATTTCCACCAATCATATTTCTTTTTTTTTTTGGAGAGGTTTTCACTATAGGGTACGTGCACTCACCAGAAAGACAGAGACCGAGAGACAAAACAAGAAGTCACTCCCCAGTGGGGATGGCCACGCTGCAATCCCTTCTCCTCCAGTCTCCTCTTGGGATTTTGGGTACGCAAGCACACGTGCCCAGAGTGATTTTAAGCACCGGGTCGGGAACTCAAACCACGGTCGACTACATGGGAGTCCAGCAACATAGCCATTGTGCCAACTGCTGGTCTCTACCAATCATATTTCTGTTTCACATTCTTTTTTTTAAGATTTGTTTCATTTTTTTGTCATTATTATTTTTTTAAAAAGGCATTGCACTTTATTTATTTATTTATTTATTTATTTTTGGAGAGGCTTTTTGCCATAGGGCGTGTGTGCTCTCCAGACAGACAGAGAGACAGAAAGCGAGAAATCACCCCCCGGGGGGATGGCCACGCTGCAATCCCTTCTCCATTCTCCTCTTGGGATCTTGGGCACGCACGCACACATGCCCGGCATGAGTTTTAAGCCACCGAGTCCAGGACACGAACCGCGGTCGACTACATGGGAGTCCAGTGACATAGCCATTACGCTAACTGCTGGTCCCATTATTAATTTTTTGAGAGATTTTTTGCTATAGGGTACATATGCTTGCCAGAGAGGAGAAACATGGAGAGAGAGAAAGTGAGAAATGGCCACCAGAAGGATGACCAAGCCACAGTTCCTTCTCCAACTCTCTCCTCTTGGGATTTTGGGTATACGTGCAAATGTACCTGATGTGAGTTTCAAGCTCCAGGTCTAGGACTGGAACTGTAGTTGACCATGTGGGAGTCCAGTGCCTTAACCACTACACCACCTGCTAGCCCCATTATTGTTTGTTTGTTTAACTTGCTACAGGGCACATTTGCTCACCAGAGAGAGACAGCAAGAGAGAGGGAAAGTGAAAAATCGCCCCTGTGGGGGAGAGAGGATGGCCACACTGCAATCCCTTCTCCATTCTCCTCCTGGAGAATGCATGCACATATGCCTGGCGTGTCTTCAATCCTCCAGGACTAATGGGACTTGAACCATGGTCGACCATGTGGGAGTCTAGCACCTTAACCACCATGCCACCTGCTAGCCTCTGTCACACACCCCCATCCCCTCTAACCCCTCACCAAAGTTTCATTTCTAAAGATGCTGTCTTCTCTAATACATTTCCCTATTGGTTTTTCTTCTAGTTTTCAGATTGTTCTTCTTAGTTTTGTCACTTAAACCTTTGTATCCTCTGTGAACCATTCTTCCTCCATTTGGGAATGTCTTATGATAATATCAACAATTCTAAAATCAGCCAGCTATGCAAACCAGAGTCACTGCTTCACAGGTTTGCCCTCAAATCAGAGTTACAATGTTGAGCACATGAGGAAAATCTTCAGTGTTAACTTAATTATTCCTTTCAAAAAATAATTTATTAACTTAAGCCTATTGTTGTAAAGCATTTTAAAAGCATTGAAATTTTGTTAATGTAGAAAATTTAATTTAGAGAGTAAAACCACTACGTAAATTGAGTGGTCATGATAGCTTTTATTTATTTATTTATTTTAAATGTACTTTAAAAAAATCTTAGTTGGGGAACCAGCAGTTAGCGTAATGGCTATGTCGCTGGACTCCCACGTAGTCGACCGCGTTTCGCGTCCCGGACCCGGTGGCTTAAAACTCACGCCGGCGCATGTGCGTGTGTGCCCAAGATCCCCAGAGGAGAATGGAGGAGAAGGGATTGCAGCGTGACCATCCCCCCCAGGGGGTGATTTCTCACTTTCTGTCTCTCTGTCTCTCTCTGTCTGTCTGGTGAGCACACGTGCCCTATAGTGAAAACCTCTCCTCTCCCTCCCCCCAAAAAATCTTAGTTGTTTCCAACAGTTTTATCAATTAGAACTTTTCCCCATAGACCAATATTCTAAACCTCCAGGAATTAGTTTTATTTATTTTATGAATAAATCTTATTATTTGGTCAAAAATAATGGAATCTTAGAGCTTTCATATCTTTTAAATCGTAATTCAACACTTGAGCATAATTTACAGGTGAGAAATCTGAGTCTCAGAGAATTTAGGGACTTCAGAGATTAGACTGTTAGTGGCACAACCAGAGAAGAGGGAAGAAAACCTCCACACAACATCGTATTGTGTTAAGATGAGAGAGTTGGGAGGCCCAGCCAATACTGAGTGTTTGGATTCCTAAAGGTAATTCAAGGTTTTGCTGGGTTAGGCTAAGC